ACGTGTGCTTGGAAATGGAGAGTTACGCCGTGGATAGTCCAGAATATCAGATGGCCCAATATAATTGTTCAGTCGATGGCTTCAGAGCACGTATGGCAGCAGTCATCCTAACAAATCCTCCGTCTGAGGAGCATGGTTTCATGTAAGTTTGATAATTAGAGATTAGTCCAGAGTTAATACATCATCGTAGGTAAAAATGGTTGTTTGCTTTTCTAGATTTGACGTTGGGCAGGTTCATTCTAGTAAGAGAAAACTTCTTGTCCTTGATGTGAATGGACTTCTTGCGGACATATTGTATTCAGCCCCGAAAGGCTGTCGGGGAGACGCACATATTTTAGGGCGAGCATGTGAGATTTGATGATGAGTTGAATCTGTCTTTGATTTATTATTGTTACTTTTATTTATTATATCTAAGATATTCGAAAAGTCCAACTGCCGGGTTTATTTTGACCTCACCCTTCTTTTTGGTATATGTAGTTTTCAAGAGACCCTACTGTGACGATTTTTTGAAGTTTTGTTTTCAGAACTTTGATGTTGGCATATGGTCGTCAAGGTCAAAGTATGTTTTAAGCTAGTTTCTTCTCTATATATCTCTCTAAAAAATGTGTTGATTCTAGCAGTTGTTTCGTACTAATTTCATTCTTGTATCTTCACATAATCTACTTATATTATAGAAATTGTATCCTATTCCTGAATTGTCATGCTGACTTCGGACTATATATTTGAAATGCAGGAAACTTATTGACCTACTTGTTAAATTTTTATTAGGCGATCTACAAGAACACTTGTTGTTTTGTTGGGTAAGCGGCTCTCTCAAAACTTCCATATGTCATGGTACAAAAATAGTTTTTAGTAGTTTGTAGTTTGTGATACAAAAACATATGGTTTACTGCAGGATATGTTTCATAGCACTCAAACTGGCTTCAAAACTCTTGAAAATTGTGATAAACCTTTGGTTTTCAAGGACATCAGGAAAATCTGGGAAAGTGATGGTCCTAATTTACATTGGAAAAAGGGACAATATAATGAAACACACACATTATTGTTGGATGATTCTCCGTATAAGGCATTACTCAATCCAGTAAGATTCGTACCTTCGTACCTGTATATTTCTTGTGTGTGTTTACTTTTTTTCAGTTATGTCCTAACTGTTTGTTTTTTAAATTCCCTATAGTTGCACACAGCAATATTCCCCAATTCATACAGTTACAAGGATAATAAAAGTGACTATTCCTTAGGTACTGTTCTTGGTGTATTTTTGTTGTTGTATATTTGTTTGTTCTTTTCTTTTTGTGGTTATTTTTACCGAACGGTGCCCTCACATTAAAATACAGACTTATTTTGTTGAATTTTGTTGCAGGCCCAAAAGGTGACCTTCGGGTCTATTTGGAAGGATTGTTGACATACGAAAATGTGCTGAAATATGTCGAGCAACATCCTTTTGGTCAAAGTGCTATAACTGAAACTAGTCTGTCTTGGGGATTTTATTCAAATGTTCTCCAGACAGTCAATCCGGGTGGAAAATAACGAAGCAAATACAACCTTTTTAGGCTCTTCACAAAGTCAAACGAGCAACATCCTTTTTAAATGCTGGAGCTTTGGTCTCTTATAGTTTGTTTTTTAAAGCAGATGTTCGTGTTGGAAATTTTAGAGCATATGTTATTGTCGGGGATTTTTTTTTTCCTTGAATAGGCCTTCATTTGAAAGATCATATTCTTGCACAAACTCTAACTGTAGACGATGGTTACATAAGAGTTCGGGTTCATATTCTCTTGCATTTTAGTTTCTGTATCTTGTCTCTGTGTGTATACTGTTCTGTACTCTGTTCATTTTGAAATCGTGCAAATATATGAACTGAATTTTTGGCTCATTTTGTTGGTGTGCCTGGAAAGAAACGGGTTTCTTGACAATAATATATGAAACGAGTTTCAAGAAACAGTTTTTAGCAAGACAATAGGTAGTGAGGGGGCGAAAAACGGGTTTCCTCATAAACTCGTTTCTTGAAAAAAAAACGAGTTTCTTGAACAAGAAACCCGTTTTTTGCTCAAGAAACCTGTTTCTTGACCAATAAACTATTTCTTGAACAAGAAACCCGTTTTTTTGCTCAAGAAACCTGCTCAAGAAACTAGTTTCTTGAGAAATAAATGGGTTGTTTGAACAAAAAACGAGTTTCTTGAACAAAACCTCAGTTTGTTGAACAAGAAACGAGTTTATTTCTCAAGAAACTAGTTTCTTGAGAAATAAACGGGTTTCTTGAACAAGAAACGAGTTTCTTGAACAAGAAACCTGTTTCTTGACCAATAAACTATTTCTTGAACAAGAAACCCGTTTTTTGCTCAAGAAACCTGCTCAAGAAACTAGTTTCTTGAGAAATAAACAGGTTTCTTGAACAAAAAATGAGTTTCTTGAACAAGAAACGAGTTTTTGAACAAGAAACCGTTTCTTGACCAATAAGCTATTTCTTGAACAAAAAACAATTTCTTGAACAAAATCGAGTTTCTTGAACAAAAAACGAGTTTCTTGAACAAGAAACCCGTTTTTTGCTCAAGAAACGTGTTTCTTGACCAATAAACTATTTCTTGAACAAAAAACAATTTTGTTGAACAAAACCACAGTTTGTTGGTCAAGAAACTGGTTTCTTGAACAAAAACGAGTTTCTTGAGAAATAAACGGGTTTCTTGAACAAAAAACGAGTTTCTTGTTTGAGCCAAAGTGGTCGGTTTTTCGTGTTACAAGTTTAATGTTTGATGTATTTGTTTTTCCGCTGATCTTTACTGCCGCATGTCAAACATCCTTCTTCCTCATAACCGAGGCAAACCAACACCAATTTTTTTTTTTTTTTTTTTTTTTTTT